TATATAGAGAGAGAGAGAGAGAGAGAGAGAGTCTTGGCTCTGAATACATGTGCGCATGTACATGTATATCAGAAAAACAAAAAGACGTTTTTTTAAAATCACATAGCTCAGCAGAATCATATTCCTTGACGTTTGGCATTCGGGCCTATACTATGCAGCAGAGAAGCACAGTTGAACTGCCAGCCCCATCTATTCCGCCAACTTCGTGCTCACCTCAAGGGTTGTGGTATAACGAGGTTTGGCAGCATCAGAAGTAGGCCACCCGCGTCTTTGATGTAACGGATAGGCGCTTTGCTGTCGTGCGCAGAGGACCTGAGTTTGATTCCCGTGTGAGAATTTCCAACGGGTGTCCGTGGGGGCTCTTAGGTCTAGATGTACGGTTTTGGCCTCTAGGTCAAAAAGGTTGCAGAGACGAATCCTGTCTGCGACGAACAAGTATGCCTATTCTTCTCTAAACATTATCTTCCCGGTATACCTTTCCTACTTTCTAATCATGTTCTGACATCAGCTTCCATCACCCCTTTATCTGCCATCCCCACCCCTTGCCCCCTTCGTGCTTCTTTCTCCGCTACTCCTTATTCTCTTTTGCTATCTCTGGCTACTTCTAACTGCACTTCTGTCTTTCAGCCACACCCCTGATTCCAGGGAACGAAAAATCTCGGTGGTCTCGGGTGCAAGTTCCTTGGTGGTTCTAAAATCGATATGAGTAGGTTTAGGCCACTACCTGGACAAAATTCAAAATTAACTCATACCGAAACTGAAAATAGTCATTATGAAAAAGACTTACAGTACCTTCGAAATCGGAATGCGGCTGCTTGAAGGCAAGCGGCCATACGAAGTACAGGACAATAGACCAGGTCACAATTGCATTTCAGATTGAAGAACCAGCAGTCGGCTTATCCTGATGTCTAGCACATGAACGCAAAGAAGAAGAAAGATCGAGTATCTCGGACGTTCTGCTGGGACGTTGTATTCATTTCATCTAGGGTTGGTCTTGACAGGCTGGGTCGAAGCCCAATATCCTAAATGATCTAAAGTCTCTCTATGGGGCCATAAAACGCCAACATTTTTATTTTTAGAAACAGGCTATACCATGCACCATGAGACGTGACCTAAAATGTATCCTGCAAAGGTGCATTGTGACAAAAGGAAAATTTTTACCACAAAAAGGGTTACACTAAATTTAGAAACCATTAAATCTTAAAGATTGTCCTCCTTAGCACAAGAACTGACGTGTTTTTACTTGAAAAAAATAAGACTGATAGTTCGGATTTTCTTCACTTCATAATAACAGCTATGGTAGATAATCATTCGTATGAGAAAATATTGCTATAAGGTCAACTACATCTCATCGTCGGCCTTGAACGATTTGTAATCTTCGGCACTGCGCCTTCTTTAACACGCTCTGCTTTTTCCCACCGTCTATCATAGACAGGGGGCATGTTTAGATTATATTATCGTCTTTCAAACCGTAAGACCCTATTATATATATATATATATATATATATATGTATCTATTTTGAAAAAAAATAAAAATTATATAGTCTTATCTCGTGTTGACCTGTCTATTCCGATTTCGGGCCTTCCCATTTCATGCCATTACTCACCATCTGATCAAATTGACCATGTTGCTGGTTGGGGGCAGGGGTTGGGGGTGGGAAGGGGATGTGTCACTGGTATGTTTGTCTTGCTTTCCCCTCCAACACACGGTTGTTTTCGATTTGCTTCACTTTTTTTTTCAAACTTAATTCGAAACTTGGTCAAGTTTTATCTTTGCGTATAGTAGCTGGTTGGACGCACCACAAGAGGATCTTTTTTCCTCTTTTTTTCTGTCCGTCTATTCGCCTTTATTCCCCAAAATGTTGTAGTGTTTAGAAAATCAATGTGCTTCCCTTTTCTAAAACATATTTTTGTAAGTCTTCAACTTTTTAAATTGGGGGTTGGCGGGCGGTCAGGTGTGGTTTGCCCCTTTTTTCTTAACAAACATCTTTCGTTCATATCTCTCTTCCTTCTGTGTCTGTTACTCCCTGGTGACACATTTGATCTTCGGCACTTATATGACCTATTTGTGTTGCAAGTGCGGTAAAACTTAGACGAAAAAAGAATAACAATCATTTTGAACCTTACTTTCTTCAGCCTCTGGGCAATGTGAGCGTGACCAAAGAGGCAGTGGCTGAGGCTGTGAGCTTCCTTGCATCGGACGCCGCCAGTTTCCTCACAGGTCTGTGTATGCCGGTGGATGGCGGCAGATCTTTCACGGGGACATTTGGGAACAAGTCCTAGTGCTGGGGAATTTACCTACACCGTCATGTCCGGACTTTGAACACAGATAGCCGGAGACAAAGTGTTTTACCCAACATTTA